TCTATAAATTGATTAACATTATCATATACATATATTTTTAATTTATTAATACAATACCTTAATATCAATGTTTGTGATTTTAGTATTTTTTATAAAATATAACTATTAGTGATTTTAGTGTTTTAAGTTCCAAATTTTTGGTTTGTATCTAAAATCTAACGATTTATATATACATATACTTAACTCGACAATAAGTGGGAAATCAAGCACCATAACACAAGTTTGAATTTTATATGTTTCAGGAATTCAAACGGGTGACCCGTTGTTAAAAAAAACAAATATATTAATATTTCAATTTTCAAGATACTAACAATATGTTTTAGTGATTAAAATTGTTAAAAACAATCTTATTTTTATATATTTTAATAAATTAAATTAATACATAAATCGATAATAATATATGAATAAAAGTTAGAAAGGTAATTCCTTTACATTGGACATTATTAAAATGATAAAAAAAAATAGTAAAGTGACATTGAGGTTTTTAAACCCGATGAAAGTTCTATACCAAAAGGGCTAGATTTTCAACTACACAATCAAATAATCATATCATACATGTCACATGATATATCTACATTCTACAATGTGAACAACTTTTTAGTAAATGGCGTGAATTGAGTTAATTCGTATCCCATAAATCAGAAAAAATGGATACACAAATGAAGTACTCTTCGTTAATTCTACATTTCATCAACCAACAACTATAACTCCATAAATTTTATCTTTGCTATAAAACACCAATAAGGGCCGGTTTTATATGCTGATTTTACAATCTCCCAAAACCCGAACTTATCATCTCCCAATCGATTTACCTCAATGATGTGAAGATTAGCCGTAATCTCGTGTATTTCACAATCAATGGCTAAACCACCATTTATGCCTTCTTCTAATGCTTCCATCTTTAGCAACACTCCGTTGTTTTTCGTCACTTTTAACTTCCAACTCTTGACTATTTCTTCCAACTTCAAAACTATAGCCCCACGCGTCTCTCTTGACATGAACCTCACTTCTTTCTCATCTTTAGCATTGCGGTAGAACAATCCCGACAAGTTGACTCCTCTTGACAATGAAATGATATCAAACGCGTTTAAGTTACCATCTTTTTCTAAACTGTCTGTTGTTGCTTCTGTTAGATATGTGGAATCGTTGGGTTTCTCTACAAAAGAGCCCTTAAATGAATTAAACCGGTTTTCTAAACTGTCAGAAACCATTTTATCGGTTTTTTGTGGTTTAGAAGCCAAACCAGTTTTAAACCACGGGGTTTCCATTATTTCGGCAACGGAAACCCTGGTTTCAGGGTTTGGATCCAAGATCTTTGACACTAAACTTTTTGCTTCATTAGGGAACGAATTTGGAAACTTGAATTTTCCCATTGTGATCTTTCTATACATCTCCATGAGGTTAGAATCATGAAATGGTAGAAAACCAGCCAAAAGCACAAACAAGACCACCCCACAAGACCAAATATCCGATTTTTCCCCATCATACCCTTTCTGGTCAATCACTTCAGGAGCAACATACGAAGGGGTACCACAACTTGTATGAAGCAAACCATCTTGCCTCCTTGTTTCATCCAAAGCACTCAAACCAAAATCTGAAACCTTCAAATTCCCTTCATCATCTAATAACAAATTCTCAGGTTTCAAATCCCGGTGGTAAACTCCCCGGCTATGGCAGAAACCGATGGCACTGATGAGTTGTTGAAAGTATTTTCTTGCAGCATCTTCTTTCAGCTTCCCTTTAATCAGCTTATCAAAGAGCTCACCCCCTTTAGCGTATTCTAAAACGAAGTAAATCTTGGTTTTGCTAGCCATGACTTCGTGGAGCTGTACTATATGCGGGTGTTTGACTAATTTCATCGCAGAGATCTCTCTCTTTATTTGTGTCATCATTCCGGCTTTCATAACCTTTGATTTATCTATGATCTTAATTGCAACACTCATTCCGGTTTCAAGGTTCCTTCCATGGTAGACTTTTGCAAAATTCCCATGTCCAATCATCTTCCCTAACTCGTAACGTTGCATCAAAACACCCTCTTTGCTATCCATTTACTAAAATCAACTTAAAAAGTTTTAACACGAATCGATAGCCTAAGGTGAATTTCAAGGATTTGAAGAGATATGATCAAAACACGTTTTTCGTTCTCTTACTGGGATTCCCAGTTTTATTTTAATGGACTATATATGATAATGGAGAGAATGAAGGTGACGTGTTGACAGATACTCGAGCAAATCTATGAGTAGACCTGAAATGGAAAGATGAACTGTCAGATACATATTTTTAATCATGAAAATAAAAAGTGAAGACATATTCTTGCTTCCAACTCAATTTGAGCTGTCAATCTGTCATTATTTTGAAAGTCAAGCTGCTCCACAATAACATATATTCATAATATAACATTCAAAAGTTCTAGTCAATTAGCGCAGATTTAACATCATATTTTAAGGAATCCAAGAAATTTAAACTCTATGAATTTGCACAAAAATACAAGAAGCTTAAATTCATGGAAACATGAATCATCGAATATACATATACTATACTAACTAATCAACAGAGATATATATGAATTGAAATCAGTGAGTACCCCAAGAATCAAATATTAATACCTTCTGCGATTCAAACTGGGAGCTGTATATGGTGCAGAAGCTAGGGAGAGATGAAAAGATTCGAAAACTAATACATGATACACAAAAACCTGATTGCCATATATAAAAAATCTAGGAGATTGAATTAAACATGGAAAGTTTTTAAAATAATAAAAATAGGCCGAGTCCTTGAGATATGGTGGTGTTTCCTCACTGCTTCCTTCGTTAAAAGGTGTTGGTGGAATGATAGGTTTCTAAGTGGGTGTTGGACTCTTGTCTATTATATAAATAGAAACTAATTAATTAGTATATTAGAGCATTTACAATCGTAAACATTTTTATCTGCCACCTTAACAAAACAAAAAGGTAATGATTTCTTCGTTAATTTTCTTTTTCACAGTTCTTAATTCTTTTCAGATTTCATTTATATATTTAATACAAATCAATATAATTCTTAATAATATTAATTGTTTGTTCCTCTATCAACAGTTTTTGCTGTTCATTGGTTGATATTTTTTTTTAATTTTTTTTTTCTTTTCTTCCTTGCTGGCACCTTACGTGATGGATTACTATGCGTCACGTGTTACCTCCTCAAACAATCCACCGCCCATTCCAGTACGTGTTACCTCCTCAGGCACCGCCATATACACTTATGTCGATGCTTCCCCTCTCCAATAACCTCTACTCTCTCTTCTTCCCATTTGTCTGCTACCGCTCCTCCTCCCTTCTTACTTCCTTCTCTAACCTTTTCATAACCACAGACACTAATACTTCCTCTCCTTTCGACAATCCCTACCGTTTTCCCTTTTGGTTCCTTCTCCGTTAAGGTTCCGATTGGAGCCGATTAGCGATGGTGTTCTTCTACGGTTGTCGCTTCTCATCTGTCTTCTTCTTCTTCTTCTTCTTCTTCTTCTTCTTTGTTCATCTGTCTATTTTCGTTCTTCCAATTTGGGGGTTATCACAGCCCAATTCCGTTATACCTTTGTTCAATTTTTTGATTCAATCCGGCGATACCCATGACCAATTCCGTTTGCTACTCTAGGACCCAGGTATGAACACTCCCACTTTCCCAAATCGAACCTTTAATTTAGGTTTCCGGTTTGCTCTGCTCCGGTGTTGCACTTCTTCTTCTGTTGATCTCAAGCGTTCCTCATCCAGGTTTAATGTCTTTAACGTTGCTCTTTTTTTTTTTTTTTGGTTTTTCTGTGTTGCCTTCCCTTACGGTTTTGTTGGTCGTTACTGAATTTGGGTTTTCGGTTATTTGATTTTAGAATTGGGTTTTTGGTTGGTTAGGTTTTCGGAAATTGTATGTGGGGATTTTGACATCTTTGTAACTTTCCTTTGAGGTAAGTTTTGATAATATATACATAATTAAGGTATTATCTCCCTTTTTGTCGATTCTCTGTAATCATTCTTCATTTCTTTTAGTGCTTCTTTGTTATCAGAAGGCTTACCCCAGTTACATTATGTTTGACATATTAGACATCTTTTGGCTATCAATCAAAGAAAAGGTTGTTTTTTTAACAGTTTTGAGGATGAATATTGATTATTCGGATCATATTGCTAATGTAGTTCATATATTGCAGCTCATTTTCCCTTTCCTAGATCTTGACATAAAGTATGATGACCTTTGCCTTCCTAATGGTGATACTACGATGATAAAGTTACTGTAGAAAGTGCTGAATCTACTCTCAAGTATGTCTACTCCAACACTAGATTCATTGAAGAATTTATTTTCTTGATTTATTTCTGATACAATTTTGACTAATTTAATCAAACTTTAGGTATAATTAGATGGGATTCGATATGCTGAAGATGTTCAACATCACATTGATCATGGAACTTCAGAAAGAGTTGCTGGTTTTATAGCTGAAGCTACTCAGGTTAGGATGAAAACTATATATCATCAGTTTGTGTTTTATGTTATCTCAAATTTAATTACAACTATGGAATCAGAATATTGATTGAAGGGAGTTGGGGAGCAATAGAATTGGCCCCAGGTGGTATTTGTATTGCTGATGAAGTTCAAACTGAATTTCATAGAACTCGAAGCCATTTAAAAAAAATAGTATATATCTTGCTATTAAACGATAGTTAATAAAAACAATTTGTAGGGATTTAAAGTTATTGTTGATGGCATTTATGTAGTATGAAATAAAGATCAAAAATGAAAAAAAAAAAAAGGGATAGTTATTTATATATTAATCTTAATGTTTTTCTACAAATAACCATCAGACATATCTTCAAATAGTATAGAAATATCATGCCATTGTAAATAAATCAAAAAGACTCCAACTATAGTTTAGCATCACTTCTAGACAAAAGGGCAAAATAGTCAACTTTTTCTTTTTATACTGTAATCCTTCAGTCCAAAACTGAAACCTTCTTTGTTTATACAACACTTACTCCAGACAAACATCATATATCCATTCGTAACTACTTAATAGAAAAAGTCTTGGATTTTTACAATATTGCCCTCATGTATCGATAATTACATCCAGGGAGTTGGAGATGTATTACCAACTAATGTCTCAAAAAATACAATTCAACACTTTTGGAGAGAACCCTGTGCGTTCAACTGGTGGACTTGCGGTGCTCAGAGTTCTTGACAAAGAAAATCGCCAAAAACATTATGCTGATATGGGCTCCCATTTGTTTGGGAGATTGAAAGATCTTCAACAAAAACATGTTTGTAATAATTTGTTCATTCATCTTTATATTTCATAAACACTCCCTTATTTATTTTGGTTTACAAGAATCTCTTATGGATATTGTTTAGTGATTGGAGATGTGAGAGGGAGAGGATTGATGGTGGGAATTGAGCTTGTGACTGATCGAAAAGAGAAGACACCAACAAAGGGCGAAACTGCCATTTTGTTTGAAAAACTATATGTTACAATCAATGAGCAACAAGTGAGAAATTTACTCAATGTACCCTTGTGGGATTTCCAATTTTTCCTATTCCTTCTATCAGATTGATTTCCACTTAGTTCTTTGGGTTTGGTATTGATTTCCACTTAGTTCTTTGGGTTTAGTTGTACCGAATACATATCCGATCCTTCACTAGTTACCGTTAAATTTGGATAACTAAACAATATAGTAATTTTCTTGTAACTAAACAATATAGTAATTTTCTTGTCCCAAGTCTATTGATTGAGATGCGATTTTTTGTAAAAAAGATAAAAGTTTCGAACCTTGATATGCATAAAATATTGTTGCTTCAGCAGAAACAATGCAGAAATCAAAGAAAAAACAACTAACCTTGTGCTTTTGATATTCCCCTTTTTGCCCTTGGACCTAAAAATCAAACAATGACAACAACCAAATAATGAAAGTAAATGAGAAAGAAACAAGAGATTTACGAGGTTCAACAATTCTTGCCTACATCCACACTAGAAGAGAAAGCCTTTTGTATTAGGTTGAGAAATTGACCTCTCTATTCCCTCTACAATATGTTATGTTCTCTTAACCCTATCTCTCTTCACTGAGTATTACATAACAAAGGAAAGGATACATGGGCCTTTTAACTTGGGCCAAACGGTTGGGGGTCATTTAACTTAAGTTATTGGGCTTACTCAAGCTTACTCATGCCGATTCAAGCTTACTGGGCTGACCACTTGAGCTGACTACTTACAATTCTTGTAACACCTGGAATCTAGAAGATTAGTTGTAGAAATAAATCCCCTTTCCTAGGGACCAACTCGGCGAGTTGATGGTGGGAACTCGACGAGTTGGAGGCTTTTGGGTCGCACGTTTTTATGGACCAACTCGACGAGTTGGTGAAGGGAACTCGGCGAGTTGGACGTTGATTGAAAAACCCTAATTTTAGGGTTTTGCACCCTATTTAAACACCTTAAGTCCCAGGTGTTGGCCTCATTCCCAACCTCCATAGCCCCTCCCTAATTTCGAAACCCTAGAGCCTCCTTGAGTGTTGTGAGCTCATTATGGGTGTGTTTTGGTGTGTTTGAAGCTCATTGAAGGAAGAGAAGCTTGGTGCAAAGTGGTGGTTCAAGTAGGAGCTTTCAGATCTTGATTCTCTGCTCCATTTCCAGAAAATTTCGGGTATAAAGTTCTAACATTGCTTAATGTTTGCTTAGATCTCTTCTTGGGTTAGATTGTATTCTTTTAGCCATGGATGGGTGGTTGTTGGGGAAATAAAAGTCCCAGGTGTTTGTTCTTTCAGATCTATGATCTTCATGAGCTCTTTTGGCATAAAGGTGCCAACTTTATGGGTTTAAGGGTTTCATGCATTCATCAAGTCTTTCATTTAGCCCTTTTTGAGATTTTGAGCTCCTTCTAGTCATGCTTAAGCGTAAAGATGGAAACTTTACGCGGCCATCTAGCCTTATGGGGTCAAATCTGCTTTTTGGGGTATTGTCTTTGATGATTAAGTGCTTATTGGTTAAGCCCTCACTCTTTCAAGTCTAGGGTTTGGGTTTGGACCCATTTAGGTGGTTCCTAAGGGTAAAGTTGGGACACTTTACCCTTCTTGAGTCATTTTGGTCGAGATCTGAGCTTTGGAGCTCTTGGATTCGATGAAGGAAGATTAATGCATTAAGCTGTTGGGTCTTGGGCGAACTCGGCGAGTTTGTAGTTCAACTTGGCGAGTTGTTTTGGTTTACCCCGTTTCTGAGTTGATGTTGGTCAACTCGGCGAGTTGATGTGACAACTCGGCGAGTTGATGTGACAACTCGGCGAGTTGGGTCGATATGGATTATGGATATTGACTTTCAATTTATGTCTTTGAGAAAGTTTGTCCCAAGGGGGTACATTAGGTAATCTGAATTGTAACTAAGGAAAATATGGGCTTAGGATAAGGCCCAAATGGGATTCAAATTGGGCCATTAGTGGGCTTTTGTGGATCTTTTGGTTTTGGGCCTTCTTGGTTATTGGAATTGGGCCTCAGTTTTGGTTCATGTTAGGGTCAGGGGTAAAATGGTCATTTTAACCCAAGTATGGTTGGTGGGCCTTGGGATGGAACCCAATTGTTAATTGGGTGTTGTTTTGATCTAACAGTTCGGAGGTGTCGTCAGGGCATCAACTAGGGATTTATTTCAGTGTGCTTCAGCATTCGAGGTGAGTTTTCCTTACCTGGTTTAGCGGGTCGAAGGCACCAATGTTGGCCCATGTTTATGTTATGTTGATAGTATGCTAGCTGTCTTTGTGACTCTCGCGTGTGCCTTTGTTTATATGCTTTTCAGACTAAAGTCTGATGTCGGGCGGAGCCCGATGACTATTTGTATGCTATGTATATTGCATGTTTATGTGTTTATATGCTTTCCGAGCTCAGCTCGATGACCGGGCGGGGCCCATTATATTTTTTGTTATGTATGGTATGTGGTATTTGGGGGACTCACTAAGTTTTGTGCTTACGATTTTCAGTTTATGTTTCAGGTACTCCAGTTTTCAAATGAAAAAGCTCGGGACGATCGCAGCGCATACACCCGTGTTTTCCGTAATACGTGATATCTGGGAATGAACTCTGATAATTGTTTTATTTGAAATGCTTTTCAATGTTTGGACAAAGCTTACAATAGTTTTTTGATTATAATAAAAATGAAATTTTTATCCTTAATTTTTGGGATGTTACAATTCTCCACCTCGAACATCATTTGATAGACCTCAAATTTTGGACGATACACCA